GGTAAAATATGAGCTGGAGGTGCCTTGCTAAAGTGGCAGCCTGGGCTGACCTGATGTTGAGGATATCTGCAGGAGCATCCTGGCCCAGGGTCGAGTAGGGCCAGGTGGAGTGTAAGAGGAGGCACCCAGAAGCCAGCTGTCTTTATGCCCCATGAGCTGCTCATCTACCTAGTGGACCCCTAAGTGTGGAACGCAGTTCAACCACTAATACTTGGGTCTGAGGACCTTAGGGCCTGACACTAATTGAGCTAGACCAGAAATTCCCAGAGACAGCTTCTACTACCACAGTAGGCCTAGCTTTTGTACCTTCCCCAAATGTCAAATAACCTTCCAACTCTAGGCAGGAGGAACAGGACCTTCCATCTGGCCATCCCTGAGTCTAGCAGTACCCTGTCATGAAAAAGATACCTTTAGTTTCTGGACTATTGAAATCCCTGGGAAAAGGGTATCCTGTGTTGGAGAGGTGGACCAGTGGCTCTTTTAAGAGCCACTGGTAAGCCTGGCATTCATTTACAAAGTGATACTTATGTGCTTTTTAAAATAGTTAACAACAGGTTAGGTCACACCATGTGAAGTAAAAATACATTATTGTTATCTCCCAAATCACACCTATTCCAGTAACCCATGTCATAGAAATGAGAAGAGTCTCCAGAGAGGACTGGGGAGTCCTGCAGAGATTTATGACTTACATCTTACTAATATGATATAAATGAACCACCCCCCCCCACACACACATGCACATACAATGTTGGGTTTCCAAGGCACCCCAAACCCCAGGTCAGTTGCTCACCACAGGAGGCAAGGCTTTTCCTGTAGGTATGGGTGATAGTTGGTGGTGGAAGAGGCCCTGGTAGGTCATAAACAGTTAGCCTGGCCTGGAAAGAACCGCCAGGATCCAGGCCTGCTCCCAGAAGCTGCAGTCTCCTTGGCCATTGGAGGAGCATGGGTAGAATGTGCGGTGGAGATGGTGGGGAGGGCCTGAGGCCCAGTCCTATGCTATAACCTTCACAGGACAGGGGAGAGCTGTGGGCCATCACCCCCCAACTCACAGCACCTCTCCTTTCCATGCCTGTTTATTTCTCCTGGCTTGTGCGGCCTCCCCTCCTTTCCTCTCAGTCACTGGCCCTCTCAGCCTCCTCCTACGCTTTCATTGAAATCCCTCCCTCCCAGAGTGCTGGGTGTAGCAGCCTGACCCCCAGGTCAGCTCCTAAGGCTCGTGGGAGGCAAGGGAGGAGGGAGCTTGGGAAGGCCCTGCTGCCCTAACAGACTGCAGGCTCCTTCCTAAGAGACCCCAGTTCCCAGAGCCCTTTCTTAAATGGGGATACAAGATGGTACTGCCATTCTTAAGCTTGCTGTTCCTCCCTGGAAGACTTCCGACTAACTGGCCAATAGGTATAAATGCCCTATCCACCTCCAATTTAGAGCACCTCTGGAAAACCTCACATTTTAATTACTAGTGAGTCATGACGCCCCCTGCCCCCTCCCCATGCCTCCTAGGACTCCTTTAATAAGATATTTAAAAAAATCCCACAGAGTTGGAAAAGTATCCCTCAGAGATGGAAGAGGAACATTTTAATCCCTCCAGCCCGCAGGAGGATACCTTGGATGGAAACTTCTTGGTGGGGGGCAGGGGAGGTATGAACGCAGCAAATTATGTCAGAGGTGAATTTACTGGTCTGTTTGTCTCCAGCATCAAATTTCTCCCAGTCAGCCCTCCTCTAGGCCCCTTCCCATTTACAGCACACCTCCTCCCCCCCCCCATTCATTTTAACTCCAGGACTTTTAAAGTTAGACAAACAGACCCCTTTGTCAGCAGCCGCGGGAGGCCACTGGACTCCAGAGACAGCGGGTTCCATGCTCTTCTTTGGTTCCTGGGTTTTTTTTTTTTAAGTTCTGGGTGGTTACAAAGCAACTCTTAACTCCTGGAAAAGCCTGTGCCTGGGAGGAGAGTTGGGGAGTCAAAGCAAGGGGCAAGAAAGTAGCTGGGCACTGGGCCAGCTTCTCCGAAGCCGCCTAACCAGCCGGAAGAGCCTGGCACTGCTCGACATTCGCCCAGGCCAGCTTTCCCGTTTGGCCAACAGTGGCACTGTGGCCTCCTCCCCTGGAACCACGTTCAGAGAGTTCCCCACAAATACCCAACTTCAGCTTTCCCGGTTATTTTAGACTTGTTTTGAATAAAAGGAGTCGCTTCAAAAAGAAATGTTGCTACAACATACAACCAGAGGCCTTTTCTCCAGCTGTGTCTGTAACTCGCATGCGTTCAGTCTAATAACTTTTAATGTCTGGCCCTAAAATGTCTTTATAAAAAATAGCTTTACAGCATAATAGTCCAGGTGTCTTTCTGCTTGTTACTGGAGATTAAAAAAATGTGTGGGTTAGTTTTCAAGAGACATCCACCTCCAGAAAGACGGGGAAGGAAAAGGCGTGTATTCCATTATGCAGGCAGTGGTCCAGGCGTGGTGGCTGGACACTACTGGGCATTGCTCCTGGGGGCACCGGCCTGCCTGGGTGTTGCATCAGTAGTTCTAAGCTGCTCTGGAGCGTGAAGATTGAATTCTGTCCGAAGTTTGGGTTTCAAACGGTAGAGATGTTTCACTTCTGCTTTGAAAAGGGCTGTTTTTATAACTATGTATTGAGAACTAAAACAAAATAAATAAAATCGCACCTAACACCAGTCCCTCAGTCGGTATTAAATCTAATTTTTAAAAGGGATCTGCTAGCTAGAGCCGATTTTGGCCTTGACCTTGACTTAGTAATCAATTTGAGATGCTTTTGATTATTTTTGGCATGGAGACACTCCAGGATATTTTAAAACTTTCCGTGTGGATTTACAAGCCACCTCCATTTAGTATTGATGTTCTCATCGAGTCTGCACCATCTTGTCCTTAGGGGAAAGACTCCCCACCCCCAACATAAAAAGATCCCGAACAAGCAGCCGAGTGGGGTCACCTCTTGGCCTCGAAGTACGGACGGGTGGTCGGGGTGAAGTAAGGCCGGAACACCCCTCCCCCCACTCCCCCCCCTTCCCGCCAGCTTCTTGAACTGGGGCTTCGTGGCTC